CAACTTAATGCCTATGATGACCACTCTCTTTGTACTCTTTCAACAAAAGCAAGAACGACAGCAGCAGTCCCTTCGTTCCCTTGCCTACCAGGAGATGATTGTGACAACAATCCCCACCGCCCCCGTCACTACTAACCACCTCTTTAAAGTGATGCATTTAACTCGCTAGTGTCTGTTCTCAACACCAGAGGTTTATTTCGGCCCCACTCTTTTCCCCCTTCGCCGGTCCTTCTTGTTTCCTTCCGGTTGAATCCAAATACCTGTTTCTCCTGTCATTTTTTTCTACGGGACCGTTTTTCAGTCTATTTGTCGGCTTCTCTGTGAGTGTATGGGGTAGGTCTACTATACACAGTGCAATGCTGTTGTCTGCAGTTGATTTTTCATCAGCATCCACACACACACACTTCCAGCTAGCACTGTTTTTATTCTGATGTGGTTTATGTTTAGGCATATCTACGTGCTTTCACTGACCATTTCAGTTTACCATCTTCCTCCCCCTTCTCCTCCACCTTACCTCTTTCCATAATCCCACAAAGCTTGCTCGCTTGCTTGCATGAATGCCCCCCCTTTCGCCCCACCATTTTGCTGTTTTCTTGTCTCCCCACCGACACCGCTCCCTTCCACTTCATGTCTCCCCTCACGGACATCTCCGCCCGCCCACTTTTAGGATGGGACTGTGCAGATCAAGATACCCCGTCAGCTAGTTTTGCCTAATGTCTAGTTTGTTTTCCTTGTCTTCGTCCGTATCTCATTTCCCTTGGCGAGCCACGAGGCAGTGTAAAATACGTGTATTTATGATTTTTGATGACTTTTGGGCCGATGGCCCTCTTCTAACACCTCGAAAGTGTTGCCTTCTACTAGCAACTTTACTAAACTCAGTATGGCATCGTGTTGTTCTTTTTTGCACTATCCGGCTCCGTACTGCGTGCTTTGTCGCCTTTCGCAGTCGTTGGAGCCTAGAACTTGTCCGCAAGGTTCGACATGTGGGACGGGCATGTGTGATTATTTGAAGGTCAAGATCAGCACGTCGTGTACGGGCTCTCGAAGGTTCGCCTCTGTACTACAGAGCAAACAAGACAATCTCCTGAAGTTGTTTGAGTAAGGCATGCGTCGGAAGGTTGTCAACAATGAGCTATCTGAAGTAGGTAACCGTTTTTGAATCTGGGGGTACTGTTCCGCTGTGTCGGCCGTGATTGACAAATTGACTTCTGGGACGAGGAAAACACTGAGATACATGCTCTTGTGTTCTCAAGCTCTCGGCATGACGTAACGGGACTAGCTCGCAACTTGCATGTCCTAATTTAACATGTTGATGAAGCTGCGCCACGGAGCAACTTCAGTCTCCAAATTGGCTTCTCAGGCCTCTTTTTCATGTCTTGGAGTGCGATGGCTAGTTTTCCATGAGCTATATTTCCGCTTGGAGCCGCATTACTGTCCAGGAAGTATATTGTTGGTTTT